TAATCTATATATTTTCGTCCGCGTTGGGGGGTATACCCAGGATTTTCTCCGAGGTATGCACTGCAATTCAGCTTCATTGATCTTCTTTTGTCTTATAATTTAGTTTCTCACTAAATTACTTATGTCGTGTTTTTCTATGACAACGTTTTTGCAAGTAGGTATATATATTTATTGATTTCCCTCCTCTTTTCTGGAACGCATGTGCGTAATGGCATACGTATACAACTAGGTACACTACTGTGGTTGTTGTTTTCATATTATGGCTCGCCCTGGCACTAGTTTCCTGTCTTTGTGTTTGGTAGTTTTAGGCCGGGCTGGGAGCTATATGTTTTGGAGGGAGACGTCAAAAGAGCTGTTTTGAGTGTTCTCAAGTTTCGTTGAAAATGTCCAAATATTATTTTCTGTTTGTTGTGGTCGCTACGTCAATTTTTTTTTTGAGCGGGCAGAGTGTAATAGTGCCAGCTTTATATTGAGAAACCTGTAGAATGTAGAACGAAGCAGACCATTTAACGTATATATACACAATTTATTAAAATAAGAAGTAGTTCAAGGTATTTTACAACTTCTTTCTTTGTTAATGAGGGGTTATCAGGTTGCGTGACATTTTAAAATTTAATCCAATATAACGAAAAATAATATTCGAAAAGAACATTGCCAAAATTAGTAAAAGAGGCTGAATTATCCTCCAAAGAGGCTCAATTATCCTCCGAAGAGGCTCAATTATGCTCCAAAGAGGCTCAATCATCCTCCAAAGAGGCTCAATCATCCTCCGAAGAGGCTCAATCATCCTCCGAAGAGGCTTTTGCTTTCCCAATAAATGATTTTTTATCTGCATACAAAGCTCATTGTCTGTGATCAGCCAGGTTTGTCTTCGCTGTCATGCCTTGTAATTTGGGCGTAAAAATCGGCCTAAAATTTGAGTAACACTTGCAAAACCTTTCATTTAATAGTACAGAAAAACCAAATGGAAGTTGTGATAAATAAAAGTAAAATTTTTTATAAAAACACTTCACTTAATTGAACTTTGAACAATCAACCATGAACAGACGAGTCTCCCACCACGAGGTTCCAAGGCCGTCATCGTTTGTCATCCCCCTCGGCAATGATCGGAGTACAGCGAGATTTTGTTGTTCAAGCGTTGATTGGTTGCGAAGTTTGTTCTTTGTTTCGTATCGAATTGTTTATTATTGATGATGATTGCTGATTGGTTCCGAAGTTAATCACAATGCCTCGAAACCCTTTCGACTAATTCCGAACGTTTGCCGAGTCACACTCACTCTTACGGACGGACGGACACAACTCGATAACATAGTGGCTTCGCCTCTTCATACATGAGAAATATAAATTCGTATATATTGCAAAAATGTGGCTATAGTATCCTGAAATCATAACACTAATAAATAAACGAAAAATAAATAAACTTGCATCTGAAATAAACTGTATGGCATTTCATTGCACTGTACAAGGGCAAATCTCTTACATTTTTGAATAATCTAATTATATCTCCCGCGAAGACGACTAACAAAAAGCTTCATGAATACGTCGTTTAYAAAGAAACTGGAATACAGATAAAATTCCCGATAAAATGAGTAATTACAATTCCAGTCATTTGCAAGGAATGCATGAATGAAAAGGCAGCGCAAGCACTCGCCCGTGCGTGCAGAAACTTATCTTATTTGCATATATAGTCGCTGTTTCTACTATAGTGGTTAGTAGTTGGAATTATGTGAAAGATCTCTAACACGAGTAAATTTATTTACATGCACGTAAATGGCTTCAAATCTATTGTTTTCTATTGTTTAATTCTTGATTTTCAGTACTAATTAGATAGTACTGTTTCCTGCACTCCACAAGTGAGATGGAAACATCAAGGTAATCAAACTATTAGGCATAGGGCAAACGTCGAGCTAGCCATGTCGCACCAAATTGTATATTCCAATTATTTAGCTTCATATTAAAATAATAGTAAGGACAGGTAGAGTGCAAATAATATACCCGTGAAATAG